GCACAGCTTCTTGCCACTAGGCCACGAGTGCTAGTCCCCTGCAGGGCTGTGAGGAGCTAGAAGCACTCTCCTAACTGTCTCACAAGCCTAGTGCCCAGGTCACCAAGCCACTCAGCACACTCATGGCACACTCATGTCTTATCTAGTGATGGTACTGGACCGGATGATCTCTGTGCTAACACAGCCTCCTTGCTGCACGGTCCTGAGCACCTGAGCTACCCACAAGTGAGGGAGGCCCTGCTTTGAAGAAGGCTCAGGTAATTATCAGCCCCTGAGTCCTATACTTTCTTAGGAGAATCCCTCAGTTACCTTTATCACCTCTTTCTGTGTACCACTTTTTAATGTTATGGAGCTCTGACAGTGGTCCACTGTAGGTTGTGCGGCTAACGCAAGGGCCCTGCGCCTCCTACAGTTTTAATTCACCAGTGGATCCTTCGGGGAAAGATGAGTAGACTCTTCTCACTAATATTAAGAACCTGAGTCGGAATCGGCTCAAAAGTAGCAAGTTTTGGGTTGGATTTGGTTTTTTATCGAGTGGCATCCATTTCCTGAACGAAATGCCTCTGGAATCTCTACGAACTTTGAGAAACAACAGTTATCGAAAGGCTTCAGAGCTTGTGTTCATAGGGTCTCTATGAGTCGTGCTCGACTCAACAGCAATCAACAACAACAACAGAGTCTCCACTTTGATCCAATCTAAGCATTCCCCTAATCTCAACCCTGAATTTCTTTAATCCTGGAGTAAATGTCTCATTCCCCCACTAATGATTTTATGTATGAATCCTTTGTACCTCTTGTTTATTTTTTCCTGGCTCTCTTGTTGTTGTTGTTGTTATGTGCCGTCGAGTCGTTTTCGACTCATAGCGACCCTATGCACAACAGCCCTAAACCCTGCTCTATCCTGCGCCAACCGCACTGCCTCTGACACACCCATCCTGATTACCCCAGTCACCGAATCAATCCATCTCATAGAGGGCCTTCCCCTCCTGCGCTGTCCCTCCACCCTCCCAAGCATGATGTCCCCCTCCAAGGACATCATTGCAACATGTCCAAAGTATGTCAGACGAAGCCCCAGAATCCTTGCCTCCAAGGAGTAGCTTGGTTTAATCCTCTCCAAGATGAATCTGTTTGTTTTCCTGGCAGTCCAGGGTACATTCAGTACCCTTCTCCAGCACCACAGCTCAAAAGCATCCACTCTCCTTCTGTCCTCCCTAGTCATTGTCCAACTCTCTGATGCATAACAAGCGATTGCAAAGACCATGGCCTGTATCAGGCGCACCTTAGTCTCCAGAGAGACACCGTTGTTCCTGAGTACTTTAGAGAGGTCCCTGACAGCAGACTTTCCCATCACGATACGCTTTTTGATTTCCTGACTGCTGGTGCCAAGAGTGTTGACTGTGGAGCCAAGCAAACTGAAGCTCTGAACAATCTCAATCTCTTCGCCATCCATCCTGACACTGCCAATTGGTCCAGTGGTGAGAATCTTTGTCTTCTTGACATTGAGCCTCAGTTCATACTGAAGGCTGCAGTCCTTGTCCCTCCGCAGCAAGTGCATGAGGTCCTCCTCAGTTTCAGCAAGCAGGGTTGTGTCATCTGCATAACACAGACTGTTAATAGATCTTCCACCAATCCTGATGCCACAGTTCTCCTCGTAGAGCCCAGCCTCCTGGATAATCTGCTCTGCATACATGTTGAAAAGGTATGGAGACAGGATGCATCCCTGGTGTACACCCTTCCCAATTTTGAACCATGCAGTGTTACCCTGCTCTGTTCTGACTACTGCCTCTTGGTCCAAGTACAAGTTTTGCATTAGCATGATTAAATGTTCTGGGATTAGGATCCGAACATACCCCTCCTGCCCTCATCTCATGCATTTATTGCTTCAATACTAAAGAGATGCAAAACCTTTATGGCTATTACAGTCCAAATTCAGCCACCTTCTGAAAACAAGGGGCTTTGGGAGCTGTGTCATCACTTGAACATTAGGGGGGCACTTTGTCAGTAGAGATGTAAGAAGCACAGAAAAATAAACCTACAGAGTATTCTCCAGGATTGAGGGAGCCGTGGCTCAGGAAAGGTGAGAGGCAGGGAGATCCTCCATCCGAACCTGCACTGTCTTGACCCTAGGGCCTTGGGGTGATATTCACATCACCATTTCTACCCTTTTCCATTTCTCTGCTACCCCAGACATCCTCCCATTATGACATGAACCTCTGTATACTTTTTTAGAAAAGAAAATGGACCGTCTGTCTAACGGCTTGTTGTAAAGTAATAAACAGGCTCTGATTAGTTTTTCAGTTGCTGCTGTTGTTGTATGCAGTCTAGGTCAGAACTGGCTCACAGCTGAGCCTCCAGTGGGTTTTCAGAGGCTGTAAGCTGCGTGGGAGGAGAATGGCCACTTTCCTTCCACTGGTGGATTCAAACAGTGTGGCCTTGGGTTAACAATGCAGTTCCTTACCACTGGGTCACCAGAGCTCCAGCCTTTTAACACTGAAGAAATAAAGTGCTGGAGCTTGTATTATAATGAAAATTGTGATGACAATGGTTAAGGGCCCGAGAGTAAGTAGTTAGAAATAAGAGAGGGCACCGTGTGCTAACAAAGGAGGCTGAGGAGTCTGCAAGTCTAGAAGAGGTTTGGGGGTTATTTCATAGGACAATTCTTCAAATTAAGGCCACCCCATGAGGCATCACTGAAAGCAGCTCAGTGGCTTTTGTGTTGGAGGGATGAGAAGCCCCTCCGCAGTCTCAATGGTATATATGGAGGATGTGTTTGTGACTCACTGCAATAGTTTAGATTCATTTTCTGGTAATTTTGCTCACACACATGCATGCCATTCCTGTCTTCAAGTTCTTAGAATCCATCCATTCTTTTAACCGCCACCACCCCCCCACTCACTCACTCTCTCTCTCCTTAAATCTAATGGTTATGTATTTTCTGCATAATGCTTTGCCTCAGTCCAGCTTGATTTCTACTTTATCAATTGCACTTTACTGAAGGTTACAGTATTGTATTCATAATCACACATCAGCTATGTCCAAAGCCTTTCAGTTTGGAGAACCTTCACACTCACCCTGTCCCTTGACCCTCAAAAGTTGAGTCCTACTCTCCTCACTTTCCATTTGAGGTAACACAGACTAGCAGATGCCCTGTGGCTTGCTGAGCTCAGAGGGCTGGTAAACAGCAGAGCTGGGACCCTGTCTTCCTCCTATTTCATCACCTGAACTATATTGGATTTACTGTGCTAGCTTTTCTAAGCATCATTAAGGTTCATTAAGCCAGAAAATGAGTTAATTTTTGTAGAACTGCTTAACCTACACTTAGAGACAGCTAAATCATCTGGCAGGCCTGGTTTCAAACTATGTTCCAGACCACCTGGGGCCAGCCGCTCACTGCCACTGAGCCAGAAAAGACTCACAGCCGAGTCTCCACTGGGTTTCCAAGGTTGCTGGATTCAAACTGCCGGAGAGGTGTGGCCTTTGGGTTAGCTGCACAACTCCCTCCAGACTATACTACCAGAGCTCCCTCGGTGTCATCAAAATGGAACTCACTGCCCCTCAGTGACCCTCCCGTGGGAGGAGACTGCTCATTTTTCTCCCACAGAACAGCTGGTGGATTTGAACTGTCTGTCTTTGAGTTGGCAGCCGTGACTCTTTACCCTCTGACCTCTACAATCTAACAGCCTCTGAAACCCTAATCACAGTTCGCAGAAACAAATCACGGTCCCTTCTCTTCAAAGAAGGCATCCACCCCGAAAACTCAATGGCCAGCCCCATTTATCCTCTCACTGTAACCTGGCTGGTGACCTACGAAAGCTTGCTATGTGAGGCTCAAACAAGGGACCTATGGTCTTCTGGGCCAAAGGGGGGTTTGAATTCCCAAACCCTGTTTTAGTCCAGCTTCAGTCCAGTGAGGGAGTAAAGTGACAAAGGCCCAGCAGTCACATGAGATACCAGAACTCAACAATCTCCCACTGTTAGATAATGTATGTGGGACCTTTCAGGGGCCAAAGACTAGGGAGGTGACAAAGAATGGAAGAAGAAAAAAAAAAAAGAAACAGTGGGAATCACAAGTAGATGGCCAGGGTGGAGGAGATGGTATGACACTGTTGCTGTTCTGTACACAAAAAAGAAGTACAGAGAAGGAGAAAACATGTATTTGCACCCACAAAGTGCACCAGCTCTTCTCTAAACATATTAATAGGTGTGCTCAAAAACTGAAAGAAAAAAGGAGGGTGCAGGGTAGAGATTAAAAAGGTGAAATAAAATGCTTGGAAATTAACAATGCACATCTTTTAGTATTATAAAGACTCTGAAAGATAATAACATAGAGACCATGCTCCCCAAATGGTCTGAACCTGGAAGTCATGTTCTGTGGAGTGTCTGTGGACATTGTATGGAACCTGTGTAGATTAGTGTAGATAATATTTCCCCCAGAACACAGGAAGTCCTCCAAAACCTCCTTCAAATTCCTCAAGCCTTGGCTTTCCCTGTCCAAGATGTACTGGAGGCTTGGCCACTACATAGATAGGTGTGTGACCGACACTCCACCAGCCTCCTGAGGCCCCAGCTCCAGGCCCTGGTCCAGGGTGCTCCCACGCTCAGATTATATAAAGGCTCTTCCAAGGCCCCCCTCCAAAGTCTAGCCAGAATCAGGCTGTGTTCCAAGAGCTCAAAGTCAAGGTTTAGATTTATAAAAAGACCTGTGATAATAGATACGTTAAGAAAAAATCATTATAATATTTTTCCCTTTGTCATCTCTACATTGCTGGTGTCTTTGGGACAGACCTATCTGTAGGTAACAGAGCTCTCTTTCCTGTGTCTCCACTACTCTGGCCTCTCACTTCTTGTGCTGCGTATGGCTGCAAACTTCTACCTGCCTATCTGAAGCTGCCAGTCAGGCTGGATCAACACAGAGATCTCCATCCTATATCACAACCGAGCTTCCTGACTTTGGCTACACGAGGGTGCTAGGGAAGGGGACCAGGTGGCCCGGCACCTACCTGACACTCCACATTGCAGTAAAATGCCTGCTTGCATCTTCCACACTTGGACAATCCTTCTTTCCTTAAAAACAGAAAGGGCACTGTAGTGGCAACAGGCACAGAAGTGAAGTTGCATTATCTTATCATGCAATCATAAAAGTTATCTGGGCAGAAAGCAGAGCCAAGATTCACCTTACCTTCCTCTCCCACTGAGAAGTGATGTTTTCCCAAAGGAGATTTTGACCAGAGTCAGTCCTCAGGTAGGAGCAGGCTCCGTGGGACAGTACACACACAAACATTTACATAGCGAGAAGGGCAATTCCCAAAGAAGGAGAGCTCTACTCTCTGGCTCAGAGAGGCCTGGCCTGCGAAGCCACAGCTGTCAGCACTGACTGAACCATCACTCACTCGCTCTGGATGAGTCCAAAGCTCTTCTGTTCTAGTTTTGTCACTGGCTAAAGAGCCAGGGCCCTGAGTGGTGCAAAGGGCCAAAAGCCATGTGGTTTGAGCTCAGGTTTGAGGATCGTCAGAAGAAAGGCCTGGCATACTATTACCCCAAAATATCAGCCACTGAAAAAAATCTATGCAATATCTCAAATCATGGCAACACCTTAAGTCACAGCTGACTCAAGATTTTGTTTTGTTTTGTTTTCAATATGAACAGACGCGGAACTGCTTGTGGTGTGACACCATAAAGGTAGAGTGCTGGAGTGCAGCTACATCAGAGAAAGAACACTGAGAATGACTGACATAGTTCTCACAAAGAGCAAAAACCACAGATAATGGAATTCAGCACTTCACTAATGCAAATGCTGTCCAGAAAGCCAAGATGAAGAATTACTGCACCCTAGCAAGCATGTCTCCCTGAATAAAGTATCAAGGGATCTCCAAGGTACACACAGCCCCCTCTGTCAGTGTTCTATTTAGATATCACTCTTCTGCCTCTTCATAATTAAGTCAATTCTACTTTTCCACTGCAGTATTATTTCTCTGCTTCCCACAGAGGACAAGGGCATTGTTATTTCCCCAATTTTTGGATGCTAGTTGGGTGTGCTGTATAAGACAAGTCAAAGTGCTGTCAACTCTACACTATGAAACAAAAACGTTGAGGTAGGGAACAACAGTGCTGTTGGATTCAGAGCGCTGCCTGTAAACACGGCTGAATGATCCTTGTGCCCTGCACCAGTCAGCTCTGACTCTGCAGGATGCGCACACCGCGGTACCCTCGCTGCAGGCCGGTACCCACGCTGCAGGCCACGGAGCAGAGCGCAGGCTGCCTGAGGGCTGCAGCGCTGCCGCAGAACCACCTGGCACATCTGCAGCGCGGCAGACAGAAGGGCGCCTGGGGAGCTGACACTTTAACTTCTGTATCATCAGCCTGCAGATCCCGCTGCTGCCGCTTGTCAGCAAGTGGTAGTCACCACATTACGCCCACAGAACCAAGCAAGTTTTCCAAAAATGCTACTGTTGGATCTAAACAGACTGCCTTGCAGTTTTCATGACAGCGCTTAGAATCCAAGGAACAGACTGAAGAATTGTGTGGGAGGAAAACACATCTTGGGGTTGAGACGTAAATAAATATCCCAAAACTCCCATCGCAGTTAGTTCAAAAAAGAACTCACTAATCTACCTGAGTATATTCCCTTGGCCTGAAATACCCCCAGGGGTGCTTTGAAGTTATACAAACCCTGCCTTTGCACTTGGGGATATAAATGAAGTACAAGGTCACCACTCTCTCACATTTCATGCTGAGAGAATGAAGGCAGGGAAAGTGCACTCACAAACAACTGTGAAGTTGTCTGTAAGCAGCTGTGGGGAATAATGTGAACTGGGAAGAGAGGCCAAGAGAATGCCAAGCAAGGATGAGCAGAGTCTTCTTCCAAAACATGGTGCGTTTGGAAATGGATTAACACACTATAAACACAGCAACCTAAAACAGTAATCTTTATATGTTTGTTTTTGTAAGAAGAAAGGTCACAGAACCTCTTTGAGAATGTGAAGCTATTAACTTTCCCCAACAACAGTCCTCTGCCTCCAACCACAAAACCTAAAAATTCTGTAAAATGTCAAAGGCTAAAACTCAATGAACACTAATGATAGGAGGCCAGATGAGTTGTGGGATGACAGCAAGTATATTATCCATGAAGAAAGCAAAAGGTCATTACAAAGACGGAGAGGAAAGCAAAGACCAAAAGGGATGTCAGAAGAGACCCTGAGAACTGCACTGGCACAGGGAGAGGACAAAACAACGGGAAAGAAAACTGAAGTACGAGGGATGCACAGTGGATTTAAGATGCTCAAGAAGATAAACCTACCAAAATGAAACATGCAAAGAACTGGAATTAGAAAAACCAAAAGGGGAAAAATCATGCTTGACATTTCTCAAGTTGAAAGAGCTGAAGAACAAATTCAAGCCTGGATTTACAATACTGAAGGATTCTGTGTGCAAAACCTTGAACAATGCAGGGCAGGAAGCATCAAAAGAAGATGGAAGTAATAAAAAAAGTCACTGAATCAAAAAGAATTGGTTTGGTTGACATGGAACCATTTCAGGAAGTAGTAGTTCATGATCAAGAACCAATGATAAGAGAGGAAGAAGTTCAAGTTGTACTGAAGGCATTGTCAAAAACAAAAAAACCACACCAAGGCTCCAGGAATTAATGGAACCCTAGACATGCTCACTAGTCTGGCTAAAAAATTTTGGTCAACCGGAAGAGATCCACATTTGTTCTCATTCCAAAAAAGGTGATCTGATAGAATGTGGAATTTATCAAATAATATCAATATTATCACATGCAATTAAAGTTTTGCTGAAGATAACAGAAGGAATAGTATATTGGCAGGGAACTGCCAAAAATCCAAGATGGATTAAAAAGAACCCATGCCATAAGGGATATCATTGCTGATGTCAGACATCTCATGGCTGAACGCAGAGAAGACCAAAATTGTTTCTTTGACTATGTTGTTATATTGACTATACAAAGGCATTTGACTGTGTGGATCAAACAAATTAACAGCTGACACTGAGAAAAATGAGAATCTCAGAATACATAATTGTGTTCAAGCAAAATCTATACACTGATCAAGAAGCTTCTGTCTGAAGAAAATGAGGGAACACAGCATGGTTTAGAATAAGAAAAATGTGTGGTATTGTTGTTGTAAAAAGAACAAGGGCTGCATGGGGACTGCTGAGTCTGACCTCTACCAAGTTCACAGCAGGGAACTATTCTCATCAACAACATTAACAACCCCAAACCGCTACCTATGAGGTCAGGTAAGTCTTCTTTCTACTTAGCCAATACCGATCATATTGTTCTCCAAAATCTGTTGCAATAGCTCATAGAACCATATTAGGAAGTCAAAGGTTTCCCTAATTCAGGTTGGTAGCAGGTACAATCACTCACTCAGGACAGCTTCCAAAATGTGCTCACAGGCACCTCTGCTTTGAGCCTTATGGCTCTAGGCCAGTGTTAACAAAGCTTTCAGTTCTGCCAATTATGCTCTCCACACCTCAGTTTTTCAACAAACTTAGGCAAAGCCTCTTATCTCTGGTTCAGTAAAGTAGCAACCCAAGGTCAGCTCCATCTCATGTGGAGTCTCTAGTTCTGGCTTTGGCTGCTCTTTCTGCTTTCCTGTAGATCTGGCTGGTGCAGGAATCTCTGGTCCACCTTTTCTCGCTGCTGCTTTGCTGGTGGTTAAGGAAATTCTACTGTTGAATCTTCTCAATTTAATGGGGAAATTAGGTAGCTCTCTTGTGAATATGCTAACATACCCTATCCACATGGCAACATCAAAGTAAATGGTAGAGAAGCCATTCTGAACAATAAAACCTTAACACCATAGTTGTATATCCTTTCTCCATACTCATTCAAATTGTATGCTAAGCAAATTATTGGAGAAGTCAGACTATATGAAGAAGACTATGCCATCAAGATTGGAGGAAAATGCATCAACAGCCATGTTGTTTTTGTTGTTATGTGCCGTCAAGTCACCTGCAACTCCTAGCGACCCTATGTACAACAGCCCTAAACACTGCTCTATCCTGTGCCAATCTCACTGTCTCCAACACACCTACCCCATTACCCTAGTCATTGAATCAATCTATCTAATAGAGAGTCTTCTTCTCCTGTACCCTCCCAAGCATGATGTCCCTCTCCAAAGTATGTCAGATGAAGCTTCAGAATCTTTGCTTCCAAGGAGCAGTCTGGCTTAACCCTCTCGAGGGTGAATCTGTACATTCTCTTAGCAGTCTGTGGTATATTCAATACTCTTCTCCAGCACCACAGCTCAAAGGCATCAACTCTCCTTCTATCCTCCCTAGTCAAAGTCCAGCTCTCTGATGCATAACAAGTGATTGCAAAGACCGCGGCCTGTATCAGTGCACCTTAGTCTCCAGAGACACCAATGCTCTTCAGCACTCTGGAGAGGTCTCTAACAGCAGACTTTCCCATCGCAATATGTCTTTTAATTTTGGTGCCAAGAATGTTGACTGTGGAGCCAACAACCTACATTATGCAAATGACACAACCTTGCTTGCTGAAAGTGAAAAGGACTTAAAATACTGGCTACAGATTAAAGACTATAGTTTTCAATGATTATTAATCTCAACATCAAGAAAGCAAATATTCTCACCACTGGACCAACAGGCATCATCATGATAGAGAGAAGACTGACATTATCAACTACTTCATTTTACTTGGATTAACAATCAACTCCTACGGTAACAATAGCGAAAAAATCAAAAGATGTGTTGCATTGGGAAAATCTGTTGTCAAGAACTTCTTCAAAGTGTTAAAGAACAATAATGCCAGTTTAAAGACTAAGGTGCACCTGATCTAAGCCAGGATCTTTTCACTTACTTCTTATGCATCTAAAAGTTAGACAGCAAATACAGATGACAGCAGAAACACTAGTGCCTCTGAACTGTGATGTTAGCAAAGAGTACTAGATATCCCATGGACTGTCAAAAGAACAAACAAATCTGTCTTGGAGGAGGTGCAACCAGGGTGCTAAATTAGAGGCACGGATGGTGAATCTTGGTCTCACATACTTTTGGCATATTGTCAGGAGAGGCTAGTCTTT